TTAGTGATGTTGATTCTGGTAATGATGATGGTAGTGGTGATAGTGGCAGAGGTAGTGTAGTGGTTATCGAGCTTTGCTATGAACCTGGCGACCGTCGGTGACGATTATTTAAACCAGTCCCGGGTCTCCCCTAGGTCGACTCGGCCTCAAATTAGTACCTGGTGCGGTGTGTAGTAAACATGGCCAGCACTGGGGAGACACAAAGGCGGCGTGGCGCTGGCCCACCCCCTCGTGTGCCACAGTGCTGGTAGCCTTCATGGGCGCTGCTACTCGTTAACAGCACTTGCCCCTATAGTCTGTTAAGGCTACCTGGGGGATCTGTGTCTTTGTCTCTTTGTCGACACGCTCCCCTCCCCATTAGAGAAGTCTCCATGGCCCGAGGCGACCACCCCCTCCCCTTCCCCCCGCCCCCACACACACGATATATACGTCTCATGCACTGCTGCTTTTTCATTCAAGTTTTTGAATTTCAGAGGACACAGCCGTAGATATAAGTGGTGAAATGGGCAACTTAGAATGTCAAATGGAAGTGAGTAAACAACCTCCTGCCACCCCCTCTCATTCACTGCTCATCCCCCCCCCCTCTCTCTCTGCATCTCTCCCTCCATCTCCCCCTCTCTCCCTATCTCTCTCACCATCTCTACCCCCCCTCTCCCTATCTCCCCAGCTGCTGCTCATGATGATGATGGTGCTGCTGGATGATGGTGCTGCTGGGTACTGCTTGTGCTGCTGATGCTGTTGGTGCTGATGATGCTGGGTGATGATGAAGATGATGCTGATGGTGATGGTGCTGGGTGATGATGAAGATGATGCTGGTGGTGATGGTGCTGGGTGATGATGCAGATGATGCTGCTGGTGATGGTGCTGGGTGATGATGAAGATGATGCTGGTGGTGATGGTGCTGGGTGATGATGATGAATGTGGGAGTGTATTACCTAAAGCTCACTTGTTCTCTCCCACTTCTTCCAGTGGTGGTGGTGGTGGTGGCAGAATCCGAAGCAGAGCAGAAACTGCAGCTTCAGCTGCAGAAGGCCCTGCTGCAAATGCAGCAGCAGCAGCAACCGGAGATGCAGCTGCAGCTAGACCAGCAGCAGAGGCAGAGCAGCAGCAAGAATAATTGCCGCTGGACCTGACCTTTGTTGAGGGTCACGGTGAGGAGGGAGGGGGGAGGAACCCACCCACAACCCATTGGCCCACCACTCCCTAAGCTAGCTGTGGGCACCCACCTGAGTGAAGGGCCCTTGCTTGGTTCTAAAGCCCAGCAGCAGCTCGGCCCTCTTCCTGCCAATCTGAAGCTTCATGAGTCTCTTGAGGCCCCCCCCCTCCTTGTTCAGCTGGCACAGGATCCGGCGCCTGAGCTCACGTTCGTCTGGCAGGTGGATCATCGCCTTTCGATTTAAAGCTTTCGTGACTGCAAGGATTCATCTTCTTTGGTTCTTTGGGTGAAGTTGAGGGTTTGTTCCTTTCACCAGAAGAAGGTCACTTGTGTTGTGGCCGAAACGTCGTGAGAATTTTATTGTGTTATTTTATTATTTTATTCTCATTCTACGTGACTTTACCGAAAGAACCAAAGAAGATCATCACCTTGTTCGCTGCCGCTGGGGGGGGGGGGGGGGGGGGGGGGAGGATGGTGCAGGTGTCATCGTTGTCTGTATCTGTCTCAATGTCTCGGTCTCTCAGTGTCTGTGTGTTGTGTCTCTGTGCGTGTCTCACTGTCTCGGCGTGTGTGTTGTGTCTTATGTCTCTGCGTCTCTGCAACTCTCTACGACTCGGAGACAAAGGCGGCCGGGCGTGGTACTGGCCACCCCCTCGTGTGCCACAGTGCCGGTAGCCTTCATGGGCGCTGCTACTCGCTAACAGCACTTGCCCGTACATTCTGGTACCTGGGGGATCTTTGTGTCTTTGTCGACACGCCCCGCCCCCGCATCCCCCCGCCCCTCCCCTATAGAGAAGTCTCCATGACCGAGGTGACCACCCCCTCCCCCTCGCCCCCACACAGACAGGTGATATGGTACTGATGGTGATGATGGTGCTGGTGATGATGATGATGGTGCTGATGATGAATATGGGAGTGTCTTACCTAGAGCTCACTTGTTCTCTCCCACTTCTTCCGGTGGTGGTGGTGGCAGAAGCTGAAGCAGAGCAGAAACTGCAACTTCAGCTGCAGCAGGAGAAGCTCCTGATGCTGCAGCAGGAGAAGCTCCTGATTCTGCAGAAAGCCCTGCTGGAGGTGCAGCTGGAGCAGCAGCTGGAGCAGCTGCTGCAGCTGCTGCTTCTCCAGCTGCTGCGGCTGCTGCTTCTCCAGCTGCTGCCACTTCAGCAGCAGCTGGAGCAGCAGCTGCAGCAGCAGGAACAGCAGCTGGAGCAGCAGCTGGAGGAGCAGCAGCTGGAGGAGCAGCAGCAACAGCAGCTCGAGCAACAGCAACAGCTGGAGCAGCAGCAGCAGCAGCTGGAGGAGGAGCTGGGGCAGACCTTTGAGGGTCACGGTGAGGAGGGAGGAGGGGGAAGGAAGGATGGGTTGTGTAGTGGTGTATGGTGTAGTGTATAGTGTGTGTGTGTCTTCGTGTCTCAGAAGGGACAGCGGTGGAGGAACAAACAGTGTTGAAGAAGCACCCTTTTGTGAGACTCGCCTACTCACTCGCGCACCCACGCACCCACCACTCACCCCACTCACTCGCACCCGCAGCAGGCTCTGAGCGTCTCTGACACGGGCATAATGAACCTCTGCAGCTCCTGCAGTCCCGTGTGGAGGAGGAGAGTCGTAGAGAGAAATGTTAATTGTGTAATGTTAACGTAATAAAATGTGTGAATGCAATAAAAATCTGCCTTTTTAAGTGTAAGAAGGTGTGATGTTAATTGTATGATTGTGATTAAAATGAATGTGATTTATGATGCGATTATTCACAAAGTTATCCGGATATTGTTATCGACTCTTGTTACCTCGGGGTTTGTTAGCAATGGTGATGATAAATCAACGATTGGCGCTTCATCAGCTACGTTGGTTGTCATCGTGGCAGCTTTCACAATTCGGATGTCTTCACAGGATCCAGTTCTCGCAATGATGATGATGCTGCTTGACCAGGTGGCGTAGAAGCAGAGGGAGCCCTGCTTACGTGATCTAACCCAAAAACCTTGTTTGAGTGTTTCCATTAATGGGAGTATTTGGATCATACCAGGGGGCAGCCGTTGAAAGGATGGCCAAATTTCACAGCTCCCCCTCTTCTGTCCACCCAGGAGTATCGTGAGCTATTAGCTACGAGTCTGCATGCAGCCTTGAGACGCTCGCGATTTTATAATAATCATTGGCCTCTGTGTAGGAGCCCCCCCAAGGATCCTCCTGGGCAATTGCGTACAACCACAGTCGGATCTGTGGTGGGGTAAAGTGTGGGCACTGCCACCTCTTCCAAGATGTCTGGCCATTCGTGGCAGGCCAAAGTGCCCTCCGGAGGGGCTCAAGAGCTGCTTCGTGTGGACGCCCCACCACCAGCAGTGGTGTGAGCAAGACGTTGCAGGGCTGCGCCTTCATCTTTTTATACACGCAATGTAGCTCTATCTGAGACACCGTCTTGCTCAGTTATGTTTTGTGACTACAGTCGCATCTGGGCCTGTCTGTCACGCTCAATTTTTATTATTATTATTTACGACCACTTGGGTCCCATGCTGCCCTTAGGTGACCGTGTCTGTGCCCGCCGCGTCAATTAGTAGCCACCGCTTCGTGGCCCCGTGTACTGTCCTTACATTACATTTGAGATGTGGGTTATACTCTTTGGTTCTATTCGGTAAAGTCACGTAGGTAAAAAATAAAACAACAAAAATCAGAGGAGGGTATTTTTTACCTACATGACTTTACCGAATAGAACCAAAGAGTGGATCCTTGCAGTCACGAAAGCTTCAAATCTAGATGTGGGTTATGTTAGTTCGGTTTGGGCACAACTTTGCAACCCAATTAGAATGACGAAACTCAAGTACAGTATTTTTTCTGAAACGTTAGAATCCTGCTACTGTATAAGCATGGCATGCACGGGCCTGTTGGGAGGATAGGAGCCGTCCATAAATGACGTCACGCACCTAGGGGGGGGTGTTTGAGAAATGTGACGTCACATCAAAATGTGCAACTTTAAATCTAGAATTGTTATAACAACACTAATTGTTATAACAACACTTCTACAACATCAGAGTGCAGCGCCACATTAAATACGCACTACAATGACAATAGTTTAAAGCGATTTGAAGCAAGTTTTCTTTTCAAAATGGAAATGTTTTTTTGGGGGGGGGGCAGAGCTTTGACGTCATATTTGAGGGGGGGGGGTCTGACTTGTGACGCCGTGTGATGCGGGTCAAAACGGGTGACGTCATTTATGGACGGCCCCATAGGCGTGGGTTAACGTGCCATTTATTGGTTCCTTGATTAAATACTCATGCCAAAGGTCACATCAGGAAAATGTCTTTAAATCAGACGACCGTGGTAGTCAATTGGGTGAAGGCAGCATATACAGTATTGCAAAACACTAATGAGCTGTTTGTGAATTCAACAGCAAATGTGAACTATCTTTTAGTATGCAAAGTAATATTTGCGCGATTGTGTGCTAAGTGCTTTGTCTCCCTAATTCTTTGGTTCTTTCGGTAAAGTCACGTAGATATAATAATTAAAATAAAGTGAATAAAAATTAAAAACACTAATGTAGTGAGTTTGCTGGCAGTCTAATGAAGACCAGCCTGGTTCTCTTAACCTCGGTGAGTGTACTGGCCGTCTATAATGTAGACTGTAGCCTGGTTCTTAACCTCAGTGAGTATACTGGCAGTCTATAATGTAGACTGTAGCCTGGTCCTTAACCTCAGTGAGTATACTGGCAGTCTATAATGTAGACTGTAGCCTGGTTCTTAACCTCGGTGAGTGTACTGGCCGTCTATAATGTAGACTTTAGCCTGGTTCTTAACCGGAGTGCGAGTGGGTGGGTGAGTTGGTGAGTGTGTGTAATGAGCAACTTCCGCGACACGTCGTGTAGAGGGTACTTTTATTTCTCACACTGGGCACAACACAGGCCAGCACCATCAGTCTCACTCTGAGTGCAACCTTTAGATATGAACGTCTCTACTGGCTACACACAGCCGATCACTCGGCGTGGTCCCACCGCCCTCGCTCGGCTACGCCGCTGGCTGGCGGCGTGACGATGATGGCGATGGAATCCCCGCAGGAGATCTTCCACGTGCCCGGACGACGGATGACGGTGAGCGGCGACGCAGCCAGGGCCCAAGAGTCCACACGCGAACCCCGAGCCCCGTGTCCGCTCCCCCTTATATAGGCCCCGCCTCTGGCCACGCCCTCTCGTGGAACCTTCGAGAAGGTTCCCAGAGCATCTTGGCCAACCACACCTGTTACCTTTGCCCCAGATCCCTCTCCGATTGGATGTTCCCAGCCAGCAGGTGTCATGTCATTACAAGTGAGTGGGTGAGTGACTATGTGACGTTTTGCAGTTTCATTGTCAATAAATACTCGTGAGTGGGTGGATGGGTGAGTGAGGTGAGTGCGTGAGTGGGTGGGTGACCCAAGTGAAATTGGATTTCATTCAATGAAATCCCATCACTCTTTGTAAACACGTACGAATAAGCGCTCAAATTATCACATTAACTTATTTGACCAGGTAAGAGGCATCTGAAAGAGGTTCGTATGTGTGTGTCGCGGGAAATCGCCGTATTTTACAAATTTGACATTTTGTGGTGTGGAGACATGAGCGGATTACAGCGTACCAGGCTTTCGCGACCAATATTATTCATGAAAAAGGTTTTGTGTGTGTGAGGAAGATGGATGTAATCACCAGCGAAACGTCACCGTACTCAAATTGTAAATGTTGTGGGTTTACCTTTTAACACATCGGTGTGCTGAAGCAGAAAATAATTGCCACGTTTTGTTTACTTTGACAAACCATACTATTTGGCTGTCGGTTGGTGGTGGTGAGTTAACGACACGTATATTTAGGCTTCTTTAAAGTCCACCTCGTACTATAGGTGGTGTGCGGTAGATAACAACAAAAATAAGAATAAAATAGTTAGGTGAATTTCGAGACTTTTTCAGGAGGGTCGCAAGTTTTGCGGTATTTGGTCCGGTAATTTTTGTTCAGTGTTTTTGCGCACGCGTGGAACCCCAAGTGCCTGGAGAAATCCACGGCTGTATTGCCTTGTGAATGCCACCCACACGACCTTACGGCGATTTACCGACCCGCAAAACAAAACGTGTAAAAAGCACCATCGTGAATTATGCTAAAAAATCGTCAGCAGTTCCTGAAGTGCATTGTGGTTTTCTAGCCTGAATATTTTTTTTCTGTCACAAATGGGATTTTTCATCTGTCACCCACGTGATCTGACGACGATTCAACGACCCGCAAGAAAAAAAACATGTTAAAAAGCAACTGTGTGCAGTATGCTAAAACCACCGGCAGTTCCTGAAGAAGTGCATCGTGGTTTCCCGGCCCTGCACTGATATCCTGTTATGATGGGATTTTTATCATCATTTACACATTTTGATTAACTGACCACGAGAAAACAAAGTTCTTCACTTAAGATTCGCAGCTCCTCTGCGTGGGCATCTTTAGCTGCCAATGGAGCATAAACGGTGTCTCGCCGTGATTTTAGTTGTAAAAAATATAAGTGCGTGGGCCGTGTTTTATTTTAGTTGCATGTTCATTTGGTGAAAGGCATTGACGCCCATTCCGAAATCTTTGCTGGCAGGGTCTTACAATTCTGTTCATCGAACCAACGCTGGATGAAGGCCTCCATCAGCCGCTGCCATCTCTCACTGTCCTGCGATATCAATGTCAGTCGAGCATTGTGCCTGCGCACCAGCTGATTTCATCATGTTCGTCCGTTTTTGGCACATTTCATTTTCAAATGGTATTGAGAATGCTCGACCACAATTGTTTTGGTTTAACCGGTTGAGAAACTCAAGAGACCACGATGAGTCATTTTCAAGAGTGACCTGGGGCATTAGTCTGTCAGTAGGGGGCGATGGTTGAGTAATTTACCAATATATTTTTTCCAATTTGGCAAATTTGGACCCTGACACCGGTGGCACACAATGGTCGACTCTTGCGAATGACATCAGGGGATCTTGAGCGTTCACCGAGCGAAGCCGACGACGCGTAGTATTACACACGCAGTAATAACCAGGGCGGCCGCTGGAATTCGAACCGCGAGCCTCGGCAACAAGTGAAATGCAATACCGCTCGGCTATGTCACCGCTGTCACGAGTTGGGATTTGGCATCTATAACAAAGGGATAGGGTTAAAGCTATAACGCTACGCTTGGGGCTAAATCTGGGCTTGCGGTCGGAGGTATAAAAAGGGTTTAAATGTAAATGAAGCCTGGAATTTTGGTCGGGGCAAGGCAATCCACTTGTTCGGTTGAACTCCCCAGGACAGGTGCGCTCTTTTCTGGTAAAATAAAGGCAACTGCCTACGAGTGCCATTGGGGTGTTGGCTGACAAAAAGCAGCGATTCACAACCACATCCACTCTCCTCCAAGCACCTCTCACTACGTAAATATGCATAAATCACAGCGGACGTCGCTGACCCTGTGTCCAACACCACACATGTGGAATCAGGAGCTGGTCGGGGTTGGGGGTCGGGGTGTATGTGTGTGTATATATAGACTTTCTTTTGCACCGTACGTAGCCAACCGTGCTAATCGGAGGTGTGGGGGTGGGATTCGGGGTGGTCGTGGGGTTGGGGGTCAAGGAGAGGACGCCACACTGCGTATGACGTGCCGTCGTGAGATGACGTCACACGCGCACTGACACATGGCGTGTGACGTCGTCGCTTTGGCCGAAAAGGTTTAAATCTATTTATAGACGATTCTATCAATCGCGAGGTGCGGGGGGGGCCCCTGTCGCACATTTGTCCCACGGGTCAGCGCCCGGTGAGCACGGACAGCGAGTCCGTGCCCCTGGGGTGAGAAGGAGGAATGAAGGCTTCAAGGGGACACCGCTCGAACAGTCACAAATGACGGGCGGGCGACTTGCCACGCGCATAAGAAAACACAAAACAAAAAAGGCAAATTCCGTACATTTTCACGGTGTTCTGGATATACTCTCTCACTCTCCGTCTCTCTCTCTCGGCAGACCGTTGCATTATTAATAACGAATGCGAGTTGGTTTGGTACCGTCTCTGATGTGGGTTGCTGTCAGCACATTTACCCACGGTGGGCGAGTGATCGTGTTGGCAGTGGGCAGCAGCAGCAGCGGCAGCAGCGAGTGTCCGTACAGATTGGTCGAGGCTGCTGGCTTCGTCAGGGAGGCGTGGGCAGGTGCCCGACCGAGGGCATTCGGAGAGGTTGGGACGGCACGGGGCGGTGGGGGGAGCGGGCAGCAGCTCCTTCCCTTCTCAGTCCCTCCTTGGGCACTGGAGCAAGATCCCGTGGAGCCTGTCCTCCTTCAGGGCACGGCCGTCGCATTTCTCTGTTTGATCTGCACGCGCCAAAAGTATGGGAGAGAGACATCTCGGTTAACAACAAACACAATACGCTTGCAATACCCCACAAGCAACCAACACCACGGTGTGGTCAAACAATGACCATAATAACATTGTATTACTAAAAACATTTTTTTACCCTGTAAATCTTCACTGGGTCTCAAAGTTAGGTTTCAGGAGCGTCCTGCTACATTGGGATGTTTGGACAATTTCAATAATGAATGCGTACATGTGTCTGTGTGTGTGTGTGTGGGGAGTGGTAAGCGTGGTGGTTAACGCACCGAGTTTTGAGTGCCGCTCACGGACAATATCTGAACCGGACCTTGGCCTCCTCTAGGGCAACTCAGCCTGAAATGGGGAGAGAGGCGGCCAGACATGGTGCTGATCACGCGACCCTCTCGTGTTGCTGCGCTGGCCTTCGTTGGCGTTCACTAACAGCACTTGGCTCGACAGCCTGCTTTAGGCTAAACGTGAGAACGTTGTCTTTGTTTGCTGGTTTTAGAATCTGCGTGCTTTCAATTGCACTTCCCCGAGCTTACAAAACATCACATGTGAACCGTCTGTCGTTAAATTAAAAAGGTATAGTGCGGTAATTTGGTTCTGTAATTGTGGCGAGCGCACTCCGTTTATGAACCCCGCAACGGGAGTTCGATTGTGGGCCCAGGCTTGGGTTACCCCTAAGAGGCACACGGCATGGGAATGCCTTCATCCAGCAGTGGTTGGGCAAAACGCACTCCACACGCACATCGTGAGAGTCTTAAACATACTGCGGATGACGGGTGGAGCTAAATGTTGATGCCAACACCAATGAATGGCTGGAGTTTTGTCGAGGGATGATGTCGGTCAGATCGAGTGGAGATGGTGACAGTTTCACTCAAGTGCAATGAGTCCTCATCATTCGAGGATCTCTGAGGGCATCGCAAAATTGAATGGAACACAGCAGGAGCATTTGTTCACGACGATCGAGGGGGCGGTCGTTCGGAGTTTCTCGCAAACCGTTCGCGGAGGTTTCCGTGGCGGCTTCGCGCATCCGCGACAATTTTTCACTTTCTTGAGAAATGCGTTTTGTGTCGTTTGTTTCGTTGTCCTTCCCCCGCCGCGACGGTTGGCTACGTACGGTGCGAAAGAAGCTCAACATACGTACACATACAAATGTCTTTTTGTCGCGCTATTTTTATCGCTATGCGTACCAGATACACGAAAATTGCCCTCCCCACGCTTTGCCGCTCTCCCTCTGGGTCTGCCGTTGTCTGCCACGCGGTTGAGTTTGCGTGTCCACTCTACCCCCCCTACCCTCCCCCTACCCCCCCCCCCCGTGGTCGCGTGGATGATTTTTCTCCGGGTCCTCCGATTTTCCCCCCCCACATTTAGAGCATTTGGCTACTGCTATACATTTTTCCACGTGACGATGATGATAACCCGCTTCATGGGGCTATCGTTTGTGGCCAGGTCACTTCTGAAACCGAGCTACTGTATAGTTCAGTGGGACCTGGTAAAATAAAAAATAAAATAGTAGACACGCGAATGCTTATCCTTTACAGTTTTTTAATTGTGTTCGTGCTGTATTAACTATGCCCCCTCCCCCCCCCCGAAAAGGAAGTGAAATCATTCAAGGTGAGTTTAAATAATACCGTATAATATTCACGTATTTATTCATTCATATTTTCACTTTGAAATATGTTGATGTTCGTCGCTATTAAAGCCAAGTTAAAGAACACAATATTCGTATTCCTTAATATATACGTACAGTATATATTTTTCAACGTAATAAATGTCCACGTCCACTAACCCTATTGTCTCCCAAGATTTAAGTATTCATATTCGCGGACTTAATATTCGCGCCGTTCTCCAGGACCGAATCCACCCGGAAAATATTACCGGTAATGGTTTTGCGGTGCTGTTTACGAAATTGAATCCGACACCAGGTGGCAGCAGATGGCATCGATCGGCCAAAGAAGTCCTCGTGGTTCATATTGTTTCCATTGCACTCAGGAGTATGACCATCATTCTTTTTTGTCAGGAAACTTCAGACCAGCATGCTTCGTGTTGCGTTCAAAGCATTTGGCCACCGAATGCCGAGTGAAATATCACAGGCGAACACTTTAAAGGATATTTTTTTTTATTTGCACCCTTGACTTGGCAAAGAAGTAACCCACTTGCACGTTTTCACATTTTACTTATTTACACGAAAATGTATCAACATATGGGCCATACAGTATATGTTTTAATTATATTAAATCGCAGTTCATTGTTAATCCATATCTGGATTGAGGTCTCTCCACGCCATGCTGGTCGCGGGGGTTTCTTTGACTATACTTCACCATGCTGGTCAAGGTGGATTGGGGGGGGGCTCAGATAACTACTGTGCCCCCTCCCCCATGGGTTTAAATCTTAATCGTGGGTTCAAATTTCGGCCAGTCTCGCCTCGCTCCAACACCGTGACCATCCTCACGCCTCCAGGTTTCGTAATAAAAAAAAAGAACGCCACTTTGGCGGGGATGGGAACAAAATAGCCCATCCTATCCCCTCGCCCAAAACAACAGTGGAATTTTCACCACTGGCAACAGAGGACCACCAACGGAGGTGAGCCCTGCAGCATTCCTGGGCCTCTGCGTGCGAGCGAGCGAGCGACTGAGCACTTCGGGCCACACTTGGAAAACACGCGCACCGGCTGACGGGGAACTGGGGCGGAAATTGACGCGTGGTGAGGCAGAGGGGGGGGGCTGAGCGAGCGAACAGGCGAGCGGTCAGCTTCTTGAAAGTGTCTCCCCCCAAATCCCTAGAGTCAAACTCGCCCGCTCCATGAAACCGCAGCCACGGAAACGCAAAGAGTGGGGGGGGGGGGGGGTGAGCGGACGGAGGGGGCTTAAGTGATGGTTCAATTACAACGTTGCGTCCAAATAATTGCCGTATTAGGATTTGTTAAGAAAATGTTAACTTCTTTTTTAAAAATCCGATCCCTTTCCCAGTACCGCCCACTAAACCGTAAAAAAACTTAAATTTTCTTGAAAGAGACGCAGGCCGGCCAAAGCCCTGTGGAGTGCGGGGACGATGTTTGTACAGCGTTGGATGGGGCCGAATGCATTTATTTAGATTTATTTAATAAATCCTGGCCAGAGGTTTACGCGTGTACGGAAACAAACTAAACGATCATTTGTAAAATAAAATAAAACCGTTTTAAAAATAGCCAGTAATTTGGGCAGTCTGCCAGATCCAGTGTAAGCGAGATATTTTTTTTATTAGGAAAATGCTGCAGAAAGAGGTTTAGTTTTTTTTTCTCCCCCTTTCCCCTTCTCTGGAAAGAAAGCATCTGGTAGCAATAAGGTGCAGGGTTTGTGTCGGTGAGCCGAGCCGCTCGAAGCAAAGTGCCCCCTGTAGCGATCTTAACATCGCAAGCACACCCACACACAAGCACACACAAGCACCTCTTTACCATACACACACCACAAAAAGACTGACAACGCCCCCAACCATAGCCTTCGACAGACCGTTTGCGAGCACCTATTGACAGCTTGCATTGCTCGTGAGATGGGTGATGTGGCTAAGCACTGTGCCCGGAATGCATACCACAGGTATTTACACGCATGTACAACCATACACACACACAGTTAAATATATATGAACATATATGTACAAAAACAAATGTAAGATAACCCCCCCCCTCTCCCCATACAGCCTTGGGGCAAGCGCTGTTAGCGAACTGGCATCGTACAACAGAGGGGGGTGGGCGGTCAGCCCCATGTCCGGTGGTGACCTTTGTTTCCCCAGTGCTGATGTTTACACACCACACCAGACACATATTTTAGGCCGAGTTGATCTAGGGAAGGCCCAGGATCACTCCCAATATTCGCGGTCACGGTTATTGGTGACGGGCAGGAATCGAAGTGACGTTTCTGGGTTCGAGCGCGGTGCGCTAACTCCTGCGCCACCGCTCCCCATTCCCCACATTTAACTATAAACTATTTTTATTGTACTGTACACACATAACTAGACACAGGAATGTACAAACACCGGTATGTACACACGCAAAAAAAGACAAAGATCCCCCGTATCGCATTAACAGACTGTTGGGGCAAGTGCTGTCATTTGAGGCCGAGTCGACCTAGAGGAAGCCCAGGACCGGTTCGGATAATCGTCACTGGCGTTGGCCGTGAGCGAAAATCGAACTCGGGTCGGAGAAATCGTATCGCAGCGTGCTAACCGCTCCACTACCGTACACGTACACACTCACACACTCACACACACGTGTCGCAATGCAATGCCGGGGCTGACACCTTTATTACTTTCTCGAACCAGCAGTACAAGCCTGCAGCTCTCTTTTGCTCATGGCTGTCAGGACAAGGCAGCTCCCCCCCCCAAAGCGCCCATTCCACTCTCTCCCTCCCTCTCCAGGGCTCGTGCTCGTCTCTCCACATCTCCTCTCCTCTTCACTCAATCCCCACCCCATCACCATCGCCACATCTCTCCTCCACCCAAGGCTCTCTTCTTTGGCGATCTGTTTCTGAAAATCGATCTGCTCTGGGCCACCCATAGGTTGACTCGACCAAAAATAAGTCCCTGTAGGCCAATCCGTTTCAAAGACGATGTGTGCACTTGCAAAGCATGTTTGTTTGCATGTCTTACCACAAGCATGTGTGGTTAATGCAAACTTGATGTCTTGCAATAGGTGTCACACATCACTATTACTGACCACGTAGAGACATTGGCACAGAACTGCGGTGCAAAGCTTTTGCCACCTTGCGCGATAAGGTTATTTCTTATCTGATCTGTGAATAAGAACTGAAGATGTCGGAGTGACTCGGTGGTTCGGGGATCAGAGCACTGAGCCCGCACCGAAGTCATCCTGGCTTTGAATCCACTGCTCCGAGATTGAACCGGATTCTCAAGAGTGGTGAGTTGGTAGTCTCAGACTGAACACCAATGACTACACGCACAAAAAATATAAAATCCATTTGACATTACACATGCATTTGCACTTCATTTGGCTACATTCTAACTCTGATCATTTAGAAATGGAAATGATCGGTTTGACTGTCTAACTATGAGTATTTCGTTGACATTTTAAAAAAATTGCACCCACCCCATGTACAAGCAAAAAAGAGTCGCTTGAAAAGATCTGCGAAATCTACTTTCACGAATCGTTCTGTAACACGTGGCACGATGCACTGCTTTGCGACAGTTGCGAATCGATACTTTATCTGAGTGCACAACGCCGAGAGCACAATTAGAAATAAACGGTGGGAAAAAGACAAAAAAATATTTACATTACAAAAGGACTGGAAATGTTTGCGTGGTGTGGGGGGTGGTGGGGGAGTGGTTGAGCTGCACGACAGTGAAAAGGTAACTCCACAAGTAAGTCACTCTCGGCGAGGGCGTCACTTTAAAAATAATCCTCGCGGCAGAGGCAACAAAAACCACGCACGGGACGGAGACAACCTGCGGATTTTAAGTCCACAGCTGACGGCGAAGGTGCCGCCAAATGTCAGAGGGGGCATTGCGTGATTTATACATCACGCGAAATGTAGGCGTTCAGAAAATTCATGACGCAGGCGACCAGAGGAACTTATATTCCACGGTCCTTTGACAATCCGCTGCTGGATGCAGGTTTCCCTTTGCTTGCTGTGTCGGTTATGGGGGTGGGGGGGGTATGACCACACTTCACCATGCTGGTCGGCACGGGTCGGTGAAGTGGGGCATCTGGAGCTACCTATGAATGGAGGAGACTCACACATGGGTACACGATATTGGGCGGGATGGGCCCCCGCTGTTCAATAGGTGGGGGTACAATAATACTCCCAATTATCATCATAATCAGCCATGGTCAATCCATTGCTGTGTGAAAGCCTCCCGAAGCCGTCGCCAACTCTCACGGCCATGTGGTGGTGGAGCAACATCCCGAGATATCCCCGCTGCGCGGTTGCGCTGCGTCTGCCCGCCCACGTGCTTTCGGCTTGTACCGTGGCGTCACGGCTACGGCCGTGGCACACAACCCGAAGCGCACGTCGCAGGGCCGTGCGCCCCAAGAGCACCCTTGGCAGCGGCGGGCGGGCGGGCGGGCGGGCAAGCTAGTGGGCGGGCGGGCGAGTTGAGCGGGCGTTCCTCCCCCACCTTGCGCGTGTTGTCCACCACCCTGCGCTCCGGCGTGCCGTAGCGGGGCGGGTTGGCGCGGGGGTCGTAGCCGAGGCGGTCGAGCATGGGGGCGACCTCGGCCATGTCGCGCACGACGTCATGCGGGATTTGTCCCACCCACCGCGCCAGCGCCTCCAGGTTCACCGGCTTCACCACTTGGTCGGTGGAGCGCTCCACCCTGCCGTGAGACACACGGGGGGAGACGGCAAACCCAAACACCTCCCGTTAAGGCTCTGTAAGGCGTTCTGCCGAAACACCCCGACAATTCTGCTGGATCCTTCCGGTGGTTTCCAATCCAATGCCGGATCAACCGAGAGGTCCGCTAGGGACATAGAAACTTCCGAGACTGGGGGGGCGGGGGGGGGAAGGAGTAGTGGGATGCAGTCCTGAAATTTCAAACCTCATTTTATGTTCTAGAAAGGTTTCGCTGGCTGGTAGGACGGATGGTCACATCCAAAGGACATGTCGGCGGCTAGTTTTAAACAAATTAAATAAAAATGCAATGTTTTTTCGCTGGGGGTATGGGCAATCTCCCCCATCGCCCCCCTCCCGGCCCCCACGACTGCTATGGATTCACCCCAGTCGCTCTTTCCCCTCTCATCTCACTCTCCTCCCGTCCACGGGCTCTCCTACCTGTCCTCCCTCATCCCGCTCTTCCCTGCAGGGTTGCAACCTGCCTCAGTTGGGCATCTGTGTACGGGTGGCAGGATTGCGTTTGTACCAATATCTGGTGGTGTGGTATTGCTGCACAGTTTTTGTGACGGCGTATATGCTGACTGAGAAATGCATCCAGATTTGGTCTGTGGAAGAGTTGGCAACCCTGATTTCCGGCCACAGATAAGGTCAGTGGCGAGTGATATTTGAACCAGCAAACTAAACCAAACTATTTCATTTTTTACCAGGTAAGGCCCACTGAGCTGCATAGCTCTTTTTTAGAAGCGACCTGGCCACAAATGATAGCTCTACGAAGTGGCTTATCGCGTGGAAATTTGTATCAGCCAAGTAGTCTAAACGCATGCTTCTAAATGTGGAGGGAGAAAAAACGGAGGACCCAGAGACAAATCCGCGCGACCACGGGAAGAGAGACACATGCAACCTCCAATATAAAGCAGGCGTCAGTTTCATGATTGAACCCATGACCTCCTGTATACCACGCGAGGTAGTTAACATCTCCTAGCCACCGTGGCACCCTACAGTCCTCGAATTACCCTAGGTCGCCTTAGGCAATTGTCCCCTTACGCAATCCCCCCCAGCGTGCACCTCCTCTTGTACACACCGCTGTACACGCGTGTGCAAGTCTTGAAGTCGTGTTCCGAATGCACGCTCACACATGCACGGCAATACATTTGAACCCCTTGTTTTGAGACCTGGGGTGTGCCGCATGAATTCTTGAGGTTCTCAAAGGAAACAAACAAACAAACACACAAAAAAGCACAGACATGTACCCAATAAAGGCGAAGATTCCCACTGTGAACGAGCAGCTATGACGGCCGGAATGGCACACGAGGGGGTAAGGTGGCCAGGATCATGCCCCAGTGCACGGATTACTCATTTAAGGCACAGAATGAGTTAAGTTATCTGTCACTGGTGTTGGCCATAAGCAGGAATCAAAGGTGGGCCTCTGAGTTTATAGCACAGAGCACGAACCACTACACTCGCGCTGATATGTAAAAGGCGTATAATTGATCAATTCAGAATTGTGACACAAATATGGGCCTCTTGAGCTGCTTAGGGCGCTCAGCTTTTGCTTGGTTTTATTCTACCTCGCGCCACCACTGTGTACACCGACGTGCCCCCCCAGACCCCATGGTGAAGGATGGTCAAACAACCCGTCCCCCCCCCCCCCCCCAACGACAAGGTCACGAAGGGAACAACACAGATCACGTGTCCACGCCTAGTCGAGTGCAAGTAAGGCATTCGTTTGAAGTTGTGAATTAATGTGCTTTGTCGCCACAATGTGGCGCTGGCATCCCCCCCGTGCGCATTTGAAATGCAGCAGCCTGCTCTCCCCCTGAAAGGCTGTGTGGGTTGACAACCGTCGGGGGTGTTAGCAATATGGCGGAATCCCACGGCCGCCACAACTACCACAACGACCACCGCCGCCACCACCGCCACCGCCACCGCCACCGCCGCCGCCGCCTTCCGCGCCACGCCGGCCCCTCACTTGGAGAGCGACACGCCGCCCGCCTTGCCGATCATGTCCTCGTGGTGCAGCACGGCCGCCTCCCAGGGCAGGCCGAGGAAGGCCAGCGCCTCTCGCATAGTCGCCTCGGGCCGCAGCGCCAGCGTCTCGTAGCGCACGGCCATGCAGCGGCGGGGCCCCACGGCCAGGCACTGCGCGTGCATGCCCTCGACGGCGCGGCTCCACTTGGAGAGGCAGTCGCGGTAGCTGGAGAGGTCGAAGCCCGACACGGTGACGCGGCGCGAGATCATGGAGTGCACCGAGGCGCGGCCGTCGCGCAGCATGAGAAGGAAGCGGCTCTCGGGGAAGAGCGTCGCCAGGTACGACAGCGACTTGAGCGCGAACGGGTCCTGCGGGGGCGGGCGAGGGGTGGGACGGAGGGGAGGGGGGCAGTGGCACCGTGGCGGTTTAGCGCGCCGCGCCGCGAACCCGGCGACCCGAGTTCGATTCGTGCTCACGGCCACCGACGCCGGCGACGAAAATGTATGAAACCTGGTCCTGGGCGCTTCCCCTAGGTCGACTCGGCCTCGAGTGAGTTCCCGGTGCGGTGTGCGATACATCGCCACCGGGGATGCGGTGCTCGCCACCCGCCCCCTTCGTGAGGCGCTCGCCGCCGACAAACACCGGTGGCGATTATCCGAACCCGGCCGTGGGGGGGGGGCGGGGGGGGGGGTCTCCTCCGCCCCAAGGCCCGGCCCACCTTGTTGCAGAGCCGCTGCGCCGGCTCGCCGTGCTTGGCCACGATCTCGAGCACGAAGGCCCGCACCGCGTCGTCCAGCACGGCGTCCGTCACGCCGGCCTCGGCCAGGCGCACGCGCTCCTTCTCCGACTTCATCCACATCTGGTGCATGCCCAGCACGCGCGGCACCACCCGCGTCTCCTCCCCGCAGCGCACCTTGCCCGGGGTCGGGGAGGGGGGGACACGGGAGAGCGGCGGAGGAGAGAGAGAGAGAGAGCGCTGGGCGCGAGGGGCAGGGGGAGCCGTGCCGCAGTGTGTCGGGGCGCGGAGTGGAGCCCTGCCGGCGTGCGACGCTACGTGCCCAGCACGCGGGGGGCACCACCCCCTGGGGCACCACCTGCAGGGCACCACCTGCAGGGCACCACCCCTGGGGCACCACCCTGGGGCACCACCTGCAGGGCACCACCCCTGGGGCACCACCCCTGGGGCACCACCCCTGGGGCACCACCCGCGGCGCCCCTGCCTCGCCGGGTTGCCAGGGAGAGACATGGGGGGTGCGGTGTACAAGGTTGGGTGCCGAGTTCATTGCGCCACCGGTTGCAATGTGCCGCACGGTCAATTGTGCAGGGTGACGAGTGCGAAGCGATCATTGCAAGATGCTGGGTGCTGTGCGATGTAAGGTGCCGAGTGCTGGGCTCAGGGCTCTGAGAGCGGGACGCTGGGCGCTGGGTGCATGGTGCTACGTCACCCGACCACTCGCGGTACCTACCCGGGCAGGAAGGGGCGTGGGAAGCCGAGTGCCGAGCGCTGTTTTCAGGGCGCTGTTGCTGGATACTCGATAAATGGTGCATGCTGTTTGGTGCGTCGTGCCAGGGGCAGGCCGCATCGTGCCAGGGGCACCGTGATGGGTGCACGATGCTGAGTGTACCGTGCGTCGCCGTGTGGGCAAGCGCGCCACCATCGCCACCACCACCGCCTCACCTGTGAGTGTGCGTCCAGCATGACCCGCATGAGCGTGGTGCCACTGCGGGGGAAACCCCCGATGAAGATGATGGGGATGGACTCGTTGTAGCGGAACTCCCTCCTCACCGGGTCGAACACCACGAGGCCCTGCCGCCTGCACCCACAAGGAACGGGGCCGCAACGTCGGTCGCGCCCCCACCGCGTCGCGATTCTCGGCACAAGCCGAGCGGGGATCATTCGCTCAGGAGAACTTCACCGTCTGTTGGGGCTATTTCACGCACGGTGCGAAGGAAGTTCAACACACGTATACATGCTGTGGATACAGCGTGGGACGCCTTTTTTTTGCTGGTATCAAAGTATCAACAATAGGACCGCATCCATTATTTTTCGCCTCCCCCCTCCTCTTTTCCGAACATAGATGGACTCGTCCATCTGAATAACTGTCAAATCGCTCTCCGTGGTGCTAACGTTAAAAAAAACCCGCCACTTTTTTCAAATTTTCTTGTTGTGGTTTTCACACCTGATGATGATTGCTTGTGTTGCAGTCGAAACGTCGTGATAATTTTATGTTTTATATTTTTGTCTTTTTGTTGTTTCCCTTCTACGTGGCTTTACCGAGAGAACCAAGAATATAATAAGAATAGGTTTTTAACCTTTCTGGCAATAAAACAGGAGGCGTTAAGTTGTTCAAACACCAAATGGAAAACTTTTGCAAGGAATCTCGTCTGCATTAACCCACACGGTACTTGTGGCGAACATACAAAGAAACATGGTCCGATCATATTTGCACTCTCTTTGAAACTGATTGGTCTAGCCAGAGACGGCCTTCTGTAGGGCCTCGTCTCAGCACCAGTGTCAGACCAGAGAACAACGCCGCCGAAACAATGCCGCGAGAACAATTAGAACGGCAAAAAGACGAACGATCGCTGTACCGCCATCGACTGGCCAGCTGACAACCTAGAACACTGACTATTGCCAGGGAGTGTCCCATCCAAGTGCCAACTCACCACCGTCTCCACCGTCTCCACCGTCTCCACCGCGATCTTCACCGAAATATCCACCACCGCAGACATCATTGAAATGACTCACAACCATCATTATCAGTCAGCACCACCGCTGCCACCAACATGGTGACCAAAACCATCACCACGACCACCAGCGCTCCCATGCTCACCAGCACCACCCTCGCTACTACAACCACAACAGGACCATCATCGTGACTATCACGAAAATGACCACCACTATGGCCACCAGCGCTATGACTACCATCAATTCAACTACTCACGGCCAGCATCATCAGAATCACTATCAATGTCACCACCACCACCTTAACCACTAAAAACAAAGATCCCCCGTATAGCCTTTAACAGGCTCTTGGGGCAAGTGCAGTTAAGGAGCACCTATCAAGGCTGACACCACACACGAGGAGGTGGATGGCCAACACCATACCCGGCCGCATTTGTCTCCCCATTGCTGGTGTTTACACTGCACCGGGTTCTCCTTTAAAGCTGAGTCGACCTAGGGGAGGCCCAGCAACGGTTCAGACATTCATCACTGATATTAACCATTTGCTGGAATCGAACTCGGGTCGCCGGATTTGTAGTGCAGTGCGCAAACCACGACACAACCACTCTCACCCTCACCAGCACCACCACCACCACCCTCGCTCTCACCACCACCCTCACCAGAACCACTACCCTCACCACCACCCTCACCAGCACCACTACCCTCACCACCACCCTCACCAGCACCACTACCCTCACCACCACCCTCACCAGCACCACTACCCTCACCACCACCCTCACCAGCACCACCACCCTCACCTCCACCCTCACCAGCACCACTACCCTCACCACCACCCTCACCAGCACCACCACCACCCTCGCTCTCACCACCACCCTCACCAGCACCACTACCCTCACCACCACCCTCACCAGCACCATCGTCATCCTCTAAACTATTTTAAACTATATATTTTTTTTTTACCAGGTAAGGCACGCAGAGCTATTAGCTTATTTTGTCAGAAGCGACGTGGCCACAAACGATAGCCCAACGAAGTGGGTCATCGCGTGGAAATTTAAAAGCATTTTGACTCTAAATGTGGTGGGAAAAACCGGAGGACCCGGAGAAAAATCCACACGACCACGGGGAGAAACGGAGAGAAACACGTAGCCTCCAAATATACAGCAGCAGGCGTCAGGGTCGGGATCGAACCCACGACCTCTTGTATACCAGGCGAGGTAGTCAACATCTCCTAGCCACCACGGCGCCCCTCACCAGCGCCGCCCTCCTCCTCGCCGCCGCCGCCACCGCCGCCGCCACCTCGTACGTACAAACCTGTGCACCGCCATTGCATACCTGCTCCTCGTGTTCTCCTCGCCCCTCGATCCCAGCAGCCCCGGCCCGTCCCAGCCGAGCCAGCGGGGGTCCTCGGGCCCCCGGGCCTCGCCGGGCCCCCCCCGGGCCTGGCACTCGAGGGCTTGCTGGCCCAGGTAGAGCACGAGCAGTGCCGAGGCGGCCGCCAGGCCACACGCCACGAGCAGCTTGTGGCGCGACGAGCCCCGCATGGCGCAGCCGGCACACCTGCGGGATGGGGGGTGGAGGGATACACAGGTGTGTGTCAAGGTCACAGGTGTGTGTCAAGGTCACAGGTGTGTGTCAGTGTCACCTGCGTGGTGTCAGTGTGTGGAACTGTGTGCTGGTGTGACCTGCGTTGCAGCGTCACCCGCGCATCAGAGTCACCTGTGTGTCATGGTTACAGGTGCGTCACGATCACCAGTGTGTCAGTCACAGGTGTGTGTCAAGGTCACAGGCGTGTCAGTGTCACCTGCGTGGTGTCAGTGTGTGGAACTGTGTGCTGGTGTGACCTGCGTTGCAGTGTCACCCGTGCATCGGTGAGAATCACCTGTGTGTCAGCGAGTCTCACCTGTGTCACAGCGTTCTCAGCTGTGCGTCAGTGGTTCGCAAATGCACGCGTCTGTGCAGTTAAATTGCACGCATACGGGCGGCACGCACACACGCGGAGTAAACATTTACTCTGTAATCTTAATTGTCTATTTAACCCGAAACAAGCGTGGTTGAAATTAAAAACGCGAGATGACTTTGACCAATGCTTGCAGCTGCATCTCCGCCGATCCTTATCACCTCCATCGCTTCTACCTCCTCCACAAACGTTCATGTTCGGCCTCTGCCAGGTCTGCCACTTAAACTCCTTTTTTTGAATTTTTGATGAAAAAATAAGAGGAGGCTTTTACCCCTTTCCAGCAATAAAACTGGAGGTGTTAAGCAATGGCGGAGCCAGGATTTTCAGGGAGGGGGGGGCAACCCCTCCAGCAATGAAAAATGATAGAGGAGTTGTTAGTAAGTCAGGACTTGTCCCTTGCGTTTTACTCGACGCGTGTGCGGCGATGGCGCAGCCATCGATCGAGGGTCGAATTTGAGCCGCGTTGTGTGATCGGCATCGCGCTCACTGAAGGTGAACGCCTTCAGGGAAGTCGTGGACTGTATACGCAACTGCGCACAATTCTGTGAGTCACTTATAACTGCTTTTCCGTGACTTATTTCCAATTATGGACTCAGACTATTGTCCGATCATCTCATAGAATCCCTGGCACGTAATAATATGCTACACAGGGGCAGTGGGGGTCGCAAAATGCCGATCTATTACTAATAAACCACAATGATCCGATCGAAATTAGGGATTTAGATCGGATCATTGGAGGAGCACGTTCCATCCCCCCCCCCTCACTGGCTCCGCCAGTGGTGTTAAGATGCTCAAACACCAAATAGACACCTATTGTAAGGCGTCAATTCTGCATTTACCACACATACTTGTGGCCAATAAATGCAAAAAACATGCTCTGATAATATATATGCACTGTCTTTGAAACTGATGTCTACACCAGAGACAGCTTTCTTTATGACAAAAAGGTCCCACAGATGTAGCTGCTCAAGCCGAGCTATTAAAACTTTGACGGTGGCATTGCCTTTGCGCTGTTCGCCTTTTGGCGTTCTCTGGTCTAACACCGGTAATGACTAGGCCAGGGTGTTGGCCAATCGGTTTGAAAAACAATGCGTATATTATCAGAGCACATTTGTTTTTGCATGCTTTGGCCGCAAGTATGTATGGTAAATGCAGGCTTGATGCCCTGCGGTAGGTGGCTATTTGGCGTTCGAACATCTTTACACCTATTCATATTCTTAGCTCTTTCGGTAAAGTCACGTTGGATTGCAGTGCGTGCGGTGAAAACTGTGCGACGGAAACCAGAGCCATCATCAAGTCACAGTTGCTGCATTGCCTGCAGACATAGGCTCGGGTTCACTGAAATTGACCAGACGTCGGCCGTCGCAGCTTCCCCGCGGCCGCGTTAGCCAACGCGTGACGGGGGCGATGGGATATTGGCGTGTCCTGCCATCGACGTGATGCGTCCGTCCGCGGCGTTGCCGTTCGCAGACGCACGGCGCCGCGGGAGACGCGGCGCCGTGCGCCTCGTAGTGGTCTCACCTGCGCGCGACTCAATGTTTATCTACTTCTGTGTCATTCCCACCTGTGTCGGTGAGTGTCACCTGTGTAGCAGTGAAGGAGGTGGGTGGGTGGGTGGGGGGGATGGGGTCGGGGTCATACGGTGAAATGAAGAAAGCTCAGACAGAATCAAATTTGACCTTTTTGGCAGTACCGCTGTGATGAAATTATGAGAATAGGCTTCGGCATTTCTGGCAATACAACAGGTGGTGTAAAGATTTTGATTTAAAGCTTTCGTGACTGCAGTAATTCAACGCCGCGGACGGACGCATCACGTCGATGGCAAGACCCGCCAATATCCCATCGCCCCCGTCACGCGTTGGCTAACGCGGCCGCGGGGAAGCTGCGACGGCCGACGTCTGGTCAATTTCAGTGAACCCGAGCATATGTCTGCAGGCAATGCAGCAACTGTGACTTGATGATGGCTCTGGTTTCCGTCGCACAGTTGTCACCGCACGCACTGCAATCCACAATCCACACCATCATCTTGCAAACTGCTTTGTCAATCATTGTAATGGTAAAGGCGCAGCTCTGATGTTGCCTGTTCATGGCACCAGTGTCTTAGGAAGGGGCTCCAGAAAACTCCCCTTTTAGACCGTGTTTTTGGCATGCTATTCCACGGTGGCCGGACGTTGAAAGAGGCGGTGTACTAAATTATACTGCAGTATTATTACAGTGTGCTTAAAAAAAATGTTAACACTTATTATGGGACTATCGTTTTTAATGGAAAAAGAAGGGATAATACAATGTAACATGATAGCAAATATTATTGGTTCTTTCGGCAAAGTCACGTAGAAGGGAAACAAAAAAATAATAAAAATATAAAACAATATTATTTTATTGTTTCCCTTCTACGTGGTGACTTTACCGAAAGAACCAAGGATATGAATCCCTGCAGTCACGAAAGCTATAAAATAAAAATTTATGATGGCAAATGTATGTTAGTAGCTTCAAAGAGTCTCCACTTGTTCGCCATCGTTGTCAGCACGCGCCTGGAGTCTTCTCCAGGTGGTCTCCAGAACCCAGTGGCAGCATAATATAACCATCATCAGTATTGCCGCTGTGTAAACTATTCCCGTCAACTTCATCGCGCGATCAATCATTGCGCGAATGATGGTGGTGTGATGGTTGGCAGGCCGATGCTGATGGTGGTCGTGATAATCGGCGAGGCAGAGTTGGCAATGACGCGAACCCACGGCGTGATGGCCTGCCCTGCGAGAGTTCTGCACAGGCACGGAGTCTCGGTACGCAACGCCGACAGCACAACTGCAAGCCATTGGGATCAGGGGCAATTGGAGGGATCTCAGAAGTAGTTCTGTGAAGTCGACTTCTGGAGGGCAATTCTCTAAAACGGGGCAATGTTACACAGCTCGGCGAGAATTCCAATGAGAAGTTTCTCCGTCTCTTTGACAGCATGAGACCTACCCGGCATAAGTGGAAAAATACCATCGTTGGAAGGGGGGAAAACCCAACGATGACCTTCCAATATAAAACCCGACTCAATATTGACGACCAATATGCGTCGATCGCTGCGTGCGTGCGTCATTCCATCTGCCAGCTCCGAGGGTGAGTTGGAGGTCAGACCCAGCCGCAACCTCGTTCGTCAGGACGGCCATGCGGTCAGAGATCTGCAGGGCGACGCGAGGGTTAAAGCGTGGGGCGGCGTTGGCTGTGGGCCCAGCGCGTGGCAGATACCGAGAAGGGGGGGGGGCGTAGCAGATACCGAGAAGGGGGGGGCAAACTGCAAAAAAACGCAAACAAGCTGGGCCAAGCCAGTCCTGCAAGAGAGCCTCCTTTAAATATAAATTGTTCAGCAGCAAAACTATTTTTTATACTAACCTCCATAGTTTTCTGTTGTTCTGTTTTTTACAGCACTAGCCTTCAGAAAAAGCTGCCCCACCCCCCACCCCCTTATAAAAGTATTGCTGCATAACTCATACTCCGATCACTCATTGAGCAGGCTAAATAAATCCGTAGTCTCGGTTCTTGGGAGCTGACAGCCATCGCAAGGTTGTGCTGGGATTCCCGATTTATGTGTTTTTTCTGTTAAAATATATAATCATCAATTAAAAAGAAACTCACAACCAAGTAAACACTGCGCGTGTGTAACCACTTTAGAATTCACTGTCTATTCGTGATAGTTCACAGCCGGTTATTATCAGCAGGCAGGCAGGCTGCGCCTTCGAGTGGCATGTTGTCTGCGGGGCTATAGAGCCTGTGGTTTAAACACGCTACGCTATGAACCACGACAACCCGAGTTTCAATCCCAGCCACGACTAACCCCATGAGTAGATTTCAACATCCAAATCAAGTGCTTGGACTTCCCATTCACCAACACGTGCTGACCAAGCATGCTGAAGTACAGACGGGCTGCCTCCACGACTGACATCTTGTGGCGAGAAAACGTCAATCCAGTAATGGGTTGACAAACGGGCTGTCCACTATTAGTATTAGTAGTCGTACTACTGCGGTGTGGCTTTATGTGATTGTCACGGCTGAGCCATCGAACAAAGGCGGTCACTGCATCGCGCGCTTTCAGATGCGCTTCTGTGGCACGTCTGGAACGCTCTTTCTTCCGATGTCAGAAAGCCACTGGACCTACGCACTTTCTCAATCTAGATTGAAAACTCTTTTCTTTAGAACGGCTTTTTGTGTTTAGTTTGTTGTCCTTCCCCCGCACCTCCGATTAGCACGGTTGGCTACGTACGGTGCGAAAGAAAGTCAACATACATACATTATAGAAGTATAAGTATAAGATGAGGCCTGTGGATGATTCACTCTCATCGTGAGTAGATGAATTGTCACTTTGGGGTTACGAGTCCATTCAAGAACTGGGCAGTTCCACAAAACGAGGAATCCTCGGCCAACGTTTCACAATCATCCTAACGGCACGCTCCGTCTGGGGTGTCATTTCGAGGGTAATCGTAAACAGTTTAAGTAAATATTTGTTATCTATATCAGTAAATCAGCTCAAGCCTCCCGTAAATCCCCTGACTTCTGTGTGACCATCCCCGCTCTAAATCCCTGTCCTCTCAACGCCACCCCCTGTGAAAACAGACAC